CAGCTTGCGGCCGCCGCCAGTTTTCTTCTCGGCCAGGATGGTGACGATCTTCTCGGCCGACTGGACGCGCTTGAGGAGGGGGGAGCGGGGGCAGTCGGCGCTGCGGGGCCGGGAGCTCTGCCGGACGATGGTGGGGGGGGACAGGGTCTTGCCCTGGAAGGAATGGGGGGTTTTGGGGTACCCGTGGAGCGGAGATGGGGAGCGCTGGGGGGAAGGCGGGCGCTGGGCCGAGGAAGGGGTGCAGGCCAGGGGCGAGGGGGGGATGCTGCTGGTGGATTTGCGACGTCCCACTTTGTAGCGCGGCCCACCCAGTTTGGGGGCCAGCCCGTGCAGGGAGCTGGGGCGCACGTGGCCTGCGGGTGACGTTGGGGTGCTGGAGGAGGGAGAGGTGCTCTGAGGGGACACAGCATCTGCCGTACAAAGAGAAAAGGTCACTGTAGGGGTGGGGGGACACGGCCTCCCCCAGGGACACGCAGCATCCTGCCCTGCCCCGAGCCAACATCCCCCCCTGGGGTACCTGAGGGCAGGTCGGGAGCGGGGCTGCGGCACGGCGTCGTGGGACCCGGGGACAGGCTGTGCGTGGGGGACTCCGGGAGGCTCTCGCTGGAGGACAGTGAGTGATGGAGACCGGAGGAGAAGCTGCGGCTGGTGTGCAGGACCGATGACTGCTTGGAGATCTTCTTGAAAAGGGATTTCCTCCTGCTGGGAGACAGGAATAACTCTGGCTTCTCCTTAAAGCTGTTAGTCTCAAATCTGCTGACCTGGTGGCAGCAGGACCGGACCCCACTGGACATCCCAGTGTGGCAGATCTGGAGGATTTCCCCACACACTGGGACAAATGCCATTTCATCAGTTTTACCTACCTGTCTTGGCCATCCCTTTTCCTGCTTTTTTTACTCCTCCGAGCCATCCTTGTCTTGGAGCTGTTTTTCCGTGCAGGGCCGATTTTAATGGAGGTGTTTTCCAGGGCAGTGGTCCGCAGGGCCACTTTATTCCCACTCTGGGGGATGGAAAACAAACCTTTGCAGCAGCAGATCCGAGCCAGCTCCTGCTGCCAGCAAAGGCAGTGCCAGGGAGCTGCTGAATTGATGTCCTGGGAGAGCAGAGTGGCTCTGGTCACCCACCTTCAGCAGCAGCTCCACGACGTCCCGATGGACCAAACCCAGCACGGACTCGCCGTTCACGTGTGTGATGAGATCGCCCGCCCTCAGCCCGGCCTCCTGCGCGGGGCTCCCCTCCTCCACGCTCTGCAACCCAAACACAGAGATTTTATTTGGATGCAAGCTTCCTCCTGGGGTTTTCCCACTGGGAAAGGCGCCACTAGACCCCAGGGCACTTACCCAGACCATGTGGTGGACGGTGTAGACGTCGCTGTCGCCCATGTAGACGCGGATGGCGCGCAGGGTGAAGCCGTACTTCTTCCCCGAGCTGTGGATGATGATGGGCGGCCGCAGGCTGGCGATGGCCAGAGAGGAGTCTCGGCTCGGGGAGGAGTCCCGGGAAGAGGGGTTGGATGAGAGGGAGTGAGGGGAGATGGGGCTCATCAGGGCACTTCCACCGAAGTCATCTGTGAGCAGAAGGAGACCGACCGCTCAGTCCGGCAAAACCATGTGACAGTGGCCATGCAGCAGGATAAATCCCAGAGCACACAAACCTGAGGTGATGATGAGGGACAGGGCTGAGACGGAGGCAGATTTGGGCACACGGCTGCCCAGGGAGGCTCTCTGCCTCTCCGGCACATCCTTCTGGGTGCTCAGCCGGCGGCCCCCGCTCGGCTCCAGGCTCCGGGGAGTCGAGTTCTTGGTGCCGGTGCTGTTGCTCCGCAGGCGGATGCGGTTCAGGCTGACGAGATCGGCTGTGCAGAGGGGAGGAGGGAGAGTTTGGGGATGTGGAGAAGCTACCCCGTGCCATGCAGAACCCTGGATGTCCCCAGAGAACACCACACTGGTGCCCGCAGCCTACGCACCGGATAACGCCGACTGCTTCACCGCGCCGCCAGTCCCCGCGTCCGAGTCTCCCACCACAAACTTGGGTCTCTCTGGCTTGGAGGATGCCACACAAGGGCTCTCATCCTCCGAGGAGAAGGCAAACTTGGGCATGGTGTCCAGGCTGAGGGTGCTGGGCAGCGCGGTGGGGCTGCGGCTCCGCTCGTGCCGGGAGCTGTACGGCGTGGAGCTGCCGGACGTCCAGGAGCGGAGGCTGCGTGGGAAGAGCAGGAGGACTCAGGACAACCCAAGGTGGGCAAGGAGGGTGGCACTGGGCCACTGCAGCACCCCAAGGACACATCCCACTGACCTCACTGAATCCCCAGAAATAACACAAAAACCCGTCAGTGCCATCACAAACCCCTGATGTCAGCTCAAATCCTTGGTCCTGGCACAAACCCTCAGGTTGGCACAAACCCTTGGTTCTGACACAAGCCCTGGGCACTGGCAAGAGCCCACAGCAGCACTGCAGTCCCCCCTGGCCACGCACCGGGGCTCAGTGCCCGCTGGCCTGCTCCTGTCCTCGTCTCCCGAGTGCCGGTCCCACCGCTCCTCTTTGTCATCGCAGTGACTCCGCTCAGAGGAGGAGAGGCTGAGGGCAGAGTTGACCGCCAGGAATTCTGAGCTGCTGTACACCTGGGAAGGACAGGAGCCATCAGCAAGGAGCAGAAATTTGGGAGTTTGGTGTCAGCCAAGACACCGATGCTTGGCACAGCTGCACTGTTTGTGGTGCCAAAGCATTTTGGATGCTGCAAGAGCAGCACCTTGCTGAAGCGGTGGGAGCAGGAGGAGAACTGCCCGATCTCCACCGACGATTCCTCGTCGTTGGTTTCCTCATCCTCTGAATCCAAGTGACGATACCTCTCAGAGCGAGCTGAAAGCAAGAGGGGGAAGGGATGTCACCCTGCCTGCACCCCACATCCTCCCTGCACCCACAGCGTGACAGCCCAGTCCCAAATCCCAGGGGAGGTTTTTGGGGGGAGGAAGTTGGTGAGGGTGAGCAGCCTGGAAAGAGGATTGTATCTGTTTTGTGGTATGGGTTGTAAAAGTGACCAGCTTCACCCAGGAGATTTTCATCCCCCGTGGGAGCATCCAAAGTGCAGCTGGGATAATGGATTGGCAGAGGTGGGAAGGGATGGATTTGGCCTCACTGTCAAAGTAACTGGTGTCATCCTCTGACTCCAGCTGGGGGATGAACTCGGCCTTCTGCCGCAGCAGCCCGTTCCAGTCCAGATGGAGGAAGAAGGAATGGTGCTTCACCTCATGTGCACCTCCTGCCAGGCAGAGAAACCCATGTCAGGGGCATGGGACAGGATCCAGGATGCTCCCAGTCCCACCCCAAACAGCACAGTCTCTCCTTCACACAGAGCAAAGGGCTCAGAAAAGATGGACAGGAGCCATGTGCAGCCTTCCTGGGGGGAACCCTGAGCAGGAGGTCTCCTCTGAGCACCCTCAGCATGGTAGAACACGCTTTGGACACAAAGTCATGCACATTTGATGGGAATCAAGGTGCCAGGTCACCCCGAGGGGGCTGCCATCGTACCAGTGCCCAGGCGCTCGAGGGGACACTGCCTCAGCAACCGTGTGATCAGGTCCTGGGCGTCTGCAGGGAGAGCCTCATCCCCTTCCGGCCACATAATTTCATCTGCAGGGAAAAAGGAAAAGGGGCTTGGGATGGTTGAAAAGGTTTGGGCACTTCTGGGCAAGAGGGAAGTCCCCCAGGAGTCACAGCAGGGGAAGGGCCCTCCCAAAGTGGGAAGAACAGGAGCCTCCTCACTCTTCAGCCGGGTGTGCCAGGATGGAATGAAACATCCCACGTGTTAAAGGACAAGCCTTGGCTGCTGGGAACACAAACCTGCCCCTGACACTCACCACTGATGACCTGCCCGAAGAGCTCCTCGGGGGTGTCTCCAAAGAAGGGGACGCAGCCCACCAGGAATTCGTAGAGGATGATGCCCATGGCCCACCAGTCCACGGGCTTCCCGTAGCCCTGGATGAGGATGACTTCGGGGGCAATGTACTCTGGAGTGCCACACACCTGTGTGGGAAGCAGGGGCTGACACCTCTGCAGTGCCCTTCACAACAAACCCCGAGGTTATCTGAGACCCCGCTGATGGCAGGTCAGGCACGTGGAGCAGGACCTCGTACCTGCTTGTCCATGAACTCCCGCGTGTCCTTCTCCATGTGCCCTTCGTAGAGGTTCGTGGTCATGTTCATCAGGCCGATCTTGGACAGACCAAAGTCTGTCAGCTTAATGTGGCCCATGGAGGTGATCAGCAAACTGCAAGAGAAGACAGACACCCCACAATGCTGCTGTTTGCTTCTGGGGAGACCTGAGATGGACCAGCTGCACCCCGGGGCCTCTGGTCCTGATGCGGTGGCACAGAAACAGTCTCTGGGGAACTCATTCTGCCCTTCCCTCTTAGCTTTCCCTTCCCCATCCAAAGCCAGCTCCACCCTTGCTCAGGTGTGACCCACATCCTCACTTGTCAGGTTTGAGGTCCCGGTGGACGATGCCGTAGTTGTGGAGATACTCCAGTGCAAGAACCGTCTCAGCAAAGTACATCTTGGCCATGTCGACGGGCAGTGGGCCCATGTTCTTCAGCAAGGTGGCACAATCCCCCCCTGTGGGAACACAGGGGGCTCAGGGAAGGCAGCAGGACCAGCAGGCTCCCAGCCAGCCCCTCTGAGCAGCTGATCCCCAGGCATGGGGCACAAACACTCTCCATGGCCATGGCCACCACCTTCATCAAGGAGATCAGGATCACAAAAATCATCTCCTTGTGCTTCCCTCTGGAGCAAAGCAGGGTAGGAGATGTCCAGGTGGTGTTCTTGATGCTCAGACTTTGATATCCTCCCTTCCTCCCTGCACTGTCCAGCCCCGAGTCCTGCTCTCACCTTCCACATACTCCATGACCATGCAGAGATGTCGCTTCGTCTCGAAGGAGCAGAACATGCTGACCACAAAGGGGTTCTCAGCAAAGGTGAGGATGTCCCTCTCCACGAACACCTGCTGGATCTGGTTCCTCAGGATAAGGTTCTGCTTGTTGATTTTCTTCAGGGCAAAGCGCTGCCGTGTCTCCCTGTGCCTTACCAGGTACACGGCCCTGGAGGAACGGCCAGACATCAACACTGATGTTGATGGTCCTCCAGCCACCCACACTGACCACCCCACACCGTGGGGCTCAAAGAAGGGCTTTGGAATCGTTTACAGATGAAGACAACTGATAGGAACTCCCCAACTCACCCATAAGCCCCATTGCTGATCAGCTTGATGGTCTCAAAGTCCCCCTCGCAGGGCTTCCTCCGTGGGACCGCGAGCGAAGTCTGGTTCTGAGGAAGACACAGGTTTTTAATGAAGGCAGGAATTCACCCAGCACCACCTCCAAAAGCTTCTTTCTGCCAGAGCCCTCTCCAGTCACAAACCCCACACCAGAAGCCTGAGATGCTCTTCAGATCAAGAGCCTACTCTGAGCTCTGTCCACCCAAGAAGCCGAATGAGGGACTGTGAGATCTTCCCCTTGAATACATCAGTCACCCCTGGGGACAATCCAAAATGAACATCTCCCAGTCTAGGAGAGCTGCAAGGAGCTCTGGTGTGGGGTGAGACAGGAGGAAGCTGGAGGCAGCAGGTGGGACCACACTCACCTCACAGGTGTCATCGTTCTCCGGTGTGATGGTGTTCCCGCTGTCAAAGTGATCCAGCTGCCCCATTTCTGCAGATAACAGGGATGGTTTTCACTTTCCTCATGCTCAAGACCCACCAAAATCACCCCCTGCCCAACCAGTCCCCCTCCAAACTCAGAGACCCCGCAGGGATTCAGCCACATGCTTTGCTCGAGCTATTGTATGGAGAAATTCAGGTCATGACGTTGAGGTTCAACACGAGGTTAAACATTTATATAATACTTTTTTTTGATAGTCATTCCTGCGTTCTCCAGGGATTAAGATTCCCCCCCCAGGGCCACGGATTAAGTGTTTTTGAGCTTAATCTGCTTTGCTGAACGTGTTGGAAGCAATAATAAGGGATGTGGGGCTGGCCAGAAGGACTTGGCCATCGTCCTGGTCCTGCTGTGACCTCCCTGCCATGACACCAGCTCAGCCCTACAGGTTTCCCTGACACCTCCCACTGCTCAGTCGTGATCACCAGATCCAAACTGGGCCAAACTGGGAGTCCACATCCTTCTGCAGACCTCAGAGCCCCCAGGCCAAGTGCTTCCCTACCCTCCAGTGGGTCCTTGACGAGCCCCAGTTGGCTGATGATGTATCGGGGAATATCGGTCTTTATTCCTTGTCCAACCTTGGCGTGTCCTTCTGCAGCTTCCAGGAGATGATAAAACTCCTCTGGGTCGAACTCCTGGATGGGGAAAACCAAGCACAGTTGAGGAAAGAGATTTTGCAGAGTTAAACTTTTCCTCTAAGCCTTGTAGGTGATGCCTGTAATTTGGAACAGGCCCTGGATGCATCGTTCCTCTGTCATTCTCCATGCCAAGGGTGACAGAAAAAAAATGTAGCTCTGTGAGTTGGCCTTGGAAGGAAAACTAAGGGAGATGAAAATTTCATCAGGAACCACAGCACAAGGTCACTGCTTTAGAAATTCAGCAAATCAACCAAAAAAAAAAAGCCCTGGAAACCACAGAATCACAGAATGGTTTCGGCTGGAAGGGAACTTAAAGATCATCTCATTCCAACTCCCATGCCATGGGCAGGGAGCAAAGGAAAACAGGGACACCTTCCACCATCCCATGTTGCTCCAAGCCCCATGCAACCTGGTCTTGGACACTTCCAGGGATCCAGGGGCATCCTGGAGGCTTTGCCTCCTCTCCAGGCTGGCACAGACCATGAAAGACAAGACAGGAACTTCCATGTCTTACCAGGCACTCCAGAAGTCGGGCAGGGCGGGAGATGATGATCAGCAGCTTCCTCACCAACTGATCAATGAACTTCACCTCCTCGCTCTCAGAACGCTCCTGAGCCTGTTGGGAACGGAGACAGAAGCCAGGTGTCCCTTGGTGGCCTCACGAGGTGGCACCAGGCAGGGACTGCCCCATACTCACATCTCGGAGCATCTTCTCCAGTTTCTCCTGCAGCTCCATGAAGTAGCGGGAGGTGATGAGAGCTCCCTGGGACTTGGCCAGGCAGTCTCGGGCCAGCTCGATGATCTGGTGGTGGATGAAGCCCAGCACCCCATCAGCCAGGGGCAGGGTGCTGCTCGGGGAGAAGTTTGTGATGGTGTCCTGCAGGCGCTCTTCCATCTGGGCTGTGGCCTGCAAGGCAGAGTGGATGGTGATGGCCAGGAGCACACATCCCTGTGCCATGATCCAGGATCTCACCTCCTGCACTGGGTTTGGCCAGCCAGGATATCACCCTACCTCCTGCACTGGGTTTGGCCAGACAGGATCTCATCCTACCACCTCCTGCACTGGATTTTATCATCAGGATCTCATCCTACCACCTCCTGCACTGGGTTTGACCATCCAGGATCTCACCCTACCTCCTGCACTGTGTTTGACCATCCAGGATCTCACCCTACCTCCTGGACTGTGTTTGACCATCCAGGATCTCACCCTAGCTCCTGCACTGGGTTTGGCCAGCCAGAATCTCATCCCACCACCTCCTGCAGCTCAAATATCCACATACACATCAAGGCCCCACCTGGGACCCAGCTTCCAACAGACTGTAAAAGCTCCACCAAAGTCTCCAGAGACCTCTGCCTGCTTGTGTGATGGGGCACTTGTGTGGATGATCAACCAGGTTTGTTTTGTCTCCGCTGTCCCCAACGCCCCTCATGATCTACCCATGCATTCCATACTCCCACAGGGAGGAGAGGTCCTTCTGGAGCAGGTGCTGCCAGGATGCCATCGAGCCACCAACACCCTCATCCCCCTTGGGGGTTGCAGTTACCTTGGGGAACCTCTCCTTGTAGACGTGGTTCATCATCACCACCTCATTATCAAACGTTCCGCTCGTCCGTCCGGGGCTGCAGAGGGAGGAGAAAGGCGGCGTCACGAGGTTCAAGTCATTTACATCTATGCAAATAATCACTGCCTCTGGCAATTTGGTTCCTGGTGTTCCTAACTCCTGGTTCCAAGTGGTTAAAACTCATCCAAGTGGAGCCATCAGCCTTGGGCCAGCACTCCCAGCAGGATCCTGACCACTGGAGGTCCCTGAGATGTGTTCTAGGGAATCTTAACACCAAGTCACTTGGAAATCCAAAACTGAGAGGCTGTTCCATCATCCACCCAGCTTTGAAGAACAAGATCATCCATCCCTTCCTCTGGATCCCACAATTTCTTGCTATCATTGCCATTTTTGCAGCTCACCAGCAAACAAAGAACCCAACCAAACCTCATGGTGGACACAGCAACCTTCATTGAACATGGTTTTCCTCCTTCCCTCACCCAACACTGCCCCTCCCAGGGCTCTGCCTGGTGATCCCGTTATGCAAAACAAGTCACAGGAGCAGCCAGCAACTCATTAACCACTATAAAATAATAAATGTGGTGATTAAAACCAGCCCCAGCCCAGCCCCAGCCTTTGCTGTGCCAGCTGCAGAACTGGCATCTCCTCATTGCAAATCTCACCACCTACAAACCTCTGTCAGATAATTAATCTGATTTTAATGAAATTTCGGCTGGCAACCTGCAGGGCTGTGGCTCTGTCTCTGGTAGCAAAGAGGGTCAGGAGATTTTTCAGAGGGAAAAGAGGATTTAACCCAACATTCCCTGCAAAAAGCACAAGCCTCTGGTGCTGGGCAGTGTGGGTGGCTCACTGCACAGGGTCTGGTCTTGGAGCAGCAACGTGGAGCTCAGCAGGTACAGCTGAGGGTCAGCTCACACAACGCCACTGGCTCCATGCCTTCTCCAAATTTTCCTCTCTCCAGCCCACAAATGCCCATTCTCCTGCACTCCTTGTGTTTTTTGGTTTTTTTTGCAAAGGCAAAGGCCAGTCCCAGCAAGCAAAGGTGATGTTTTCTGGTCCAAGCCCAAAAATGGGATTTGTATTTTTTAACAGCAGGTAAGTCATACAAGGATGGGCACTGCTGGGGTTTCTGCTTGGTGATCCCTTCCTTGCCACCAAAATCACTCAGACAACTGAGCAAGAGGCTGCAAACCAACTACTGTGGAACAAATCCCACTTTCTCCAGCTTCAGCTCCAGGAGACAGGTACTGCCCGCTGCCAGGAGAGCAATGCCACGTCCCAACAGCTGAGAAGAAGCTGAGAACCAGGCCATGGAGCTCAGGATCACAGAATCATGGAATACTTTGGGATACCTTCCACCAGGCCAGGTCACTCAGAGCCCCATCCCTGAATATTTCCAGGGATGAGGCAGCTACAACCTCAAGCCAAAGTCTCTCCACTTCCCCGCATGGGGAAAACCCATATCAGGGTTTGGGACAGATTTAACAGGACCAGGACACCCCAGCAGCAGCTTGTGAGAGGGCAGAGGATTCCCTGGATGTGCCAGTACGCTGTGTGCTGTCCTGGGAGCTCCTTCCCATGGTGGGTGCCCCACCTGAGGCTCCTGGATCGTGGGCGCAGGCAGGGCGAGTGCCTGCCCTCCTCGTCCGTGACGCTCTCCGTACTGCGGAAATGCTTAGAAAGGAAATGCAGCTCGTCGGGGGTGGGCTGGTACGGCAGCTGGTGCAGGCGCTCCTGGGAGGATGAAGATGACTGGGAAGAGAGAGAGAGGGATGAAGATCAGTGGATGGGTCTGTGCTTCCTGGTGGTGGGGTGGGGTGGGAACCGGCAAGCCCGTGAGGGAAATATCCCTTGGAGCCTCTTAGGAGGTTGGAAGCACTGACAGGCAGCATGGGCTGGGCTTGGGAGTGGGAAATGAGGAGAGGAGCAGTCTGGGGAGGTCTGCACTGCCCACTCCCAGCCCCAAATCTCCTGTTCTCCCACTCAATTTGGCTCCACTGAGCCCCATCCCGTGTAACTCCAGCATCCCAGGCAGCTCAGTCCTGTCACACCCAGGGGTGCTGCAGCTCCCAGGGATGCTGTAACCCCAGGAACACCGTCACCCTAGGACACAGGAACTCCCAGAGATGCTGTAATGGGACACTGTGACCCCCAGGGATGCTGCAAGCCCTCAGCCAAGCCTTATGCCTTTCTTAAAAGCTCATTTGGGAAGCGGGATGCAGCTAAAGCACATGGTCCTTTAGAACCCAGCACCGTGGAGATAGCAAGGCATTTCACCAAAAACCAGGGGTTTTAGGATCTTATCATCAACTACCACGAGAAAGCAAAGGTTACCGAGACCGTGGAGCTGGGGGTGTTGGTCCCATAGCCAGAGGAGGGTAACGAAGCCAGTGACCACCTTCTGCCATCAGCCCTGCGAGTGCAAAAGTGACAATCACATACAGGGAAAAAAACCCAACTTCTAAATGCAAATCAAAAACATCGAAGCCAAAAGCTGGGGAACAGGACACAGGCATGGCTTGAGGAATAAAGCATCTTTTCAGAATGGACTGAAATTGGGTGAAATAAGGGGTTTGCAGGTGAGGGGGGCTGTTCTGCAGCCACAGCGTGCAGGGACAGTGGCAGGCAGCAGGGTCAGTGCAAGGCGACAGAGCTGGGGCTCCCTCGAATGCATTTCAGACAGGGCAAAAAAATCCACATGCGAGAGTCTGATCTTTAATTAGAGCAAAATTCTGCCCTCTGGGAATTTTCTTGGTGAGAAACTGGGATTCCCAAAGATTCATCCTGAGACAGCAGGCGCCGGGGAGCAGAGCCTGGCCATAAACAGGAAGGGAACTGCTCATACGCAGGCGAATGCTTCCTCTCAGAGATGTTCCCGAGGGATGGGGACACGTCCAGGTCAAGACGAGGCTCTTCACCTCCCACTGCCATTTCCCGTGTGGGGTCAAGGACAGCAGGAGCTGGCAGGGTGCCACATCCAGCTCCAGCACTCACAAACTCCTGACCCCACAGCCTGGCTCTTCCCTCTGGTACAAGTGTGCAAACCACCCGAGAGCCTCCGGTGTTTTTCCAGGCGACGATCGATGGGTTACAATCAGCCACCCGCCCTCCATGTGTGCAATTAATTAATTAGTTAAACAGGGTTTGGTGGCTGCATCTGGGGCTATGTGGGCTGGGGAGGGGATGCAGCAGGATCTGCCTCTATGGGGGCCTGGATGAGAATCCATCCCTGGACATCTGAGATGGGAGATTGGGAGATTGAGATCTAAGATTGGGAGTCCAAGATGGGGCTGAACACATGGCCAGGGGTGGTGTGATGGGAACTGAGATATTTCTGCTCCTGATGCTGCAGGGAGCCCAGTCCTGATGCAAAATTTCCCACCCAGGGATGCAAACAAAGAATCACAGAGTTCCAGACGGGCTTTCATTGGAAAGGACCTCAAAGACCCAGTCCCACTCCCTGCCATGAGCAGAGACACCTTCCATTGACCAGATTGCTCCAAGCCCTGCCCAGCTCAGCCTTGAACACTTAGAAAAGAAGGTCCCTGATGATGTGAAGCAGACACCTCCCCAAAATGCAGCCCATGCCCACCCCTGGTACTTGCCTGTCAGTCCGAGGAGCATGGCTGGGGTGGTGGGAGGAACCAGTCATGGCAGAGGAAACACCACCAGGCCAGAAACCAGGCAGAAGAAAAGCAAAAACAAAAGCAAAACAAGTCACTTGAGATCAACAGAACAGTTCCCTGTTGGGGGAATGATCTTTACCAGTGAACATTTACTGCTCTGGGACTGGGGGGTGGGAGCTCACCTGCGAGCAAAGGGGAAGTTGATGGAGGTGCTGGCAGAGAAGTTCCGTGGGCTGTCCAAGGGACTGCTCCCAGCTGCAGGGAGAAAGGGGGGAAAATACATCCCAAAACCCACCCCAGTACAATGTCCAGGGTGCTTCAGGCTGCTCCTTCAGGGGAAAGTGTTTAAGTTACTTCCCAACCTATTTCCCCCCAGAAAAGGCACCTGGCAACCAGGAGCCAGCCCGCTGCTGCTAACAATGTGCTGAAGCCCTCCAAAGTATTTGGGTAATTTTGGGAGATGCTGAAGCCATCCACTGGGATAATCCCTTACCTGTAGGTACAGAGAGAGGGGAGAGAGGCCGTGAGAGGGTCGGAGAGGGGGTGCCCACCACTAAGCTCTTCCTATTGCTGCTTCGGCAACTGGGGAAGAAAGAGAGGGAATTCATTCAGGGAATCAAAGCCAGCCAGAGCTGGATGGGCTCAGGCACGTGAGTATCTGCTTGCACGTGAATTCCTGTGCCAGGGAACACGGCTGCTGTCACCCCACTGATCACAGACCTGCCACAGGGAAGCTCCATCCCCAGGCCCAGCACTGCTGGAGATGGCCAGACAGGGTTATTTTTAAAAAAGAACTGCCCTGTCGAGGTCCCACTTCTGGTTTTGGCTGGCTGGGGAGGGCAGAGGCAGGAGGCCCCTCGGGCAACAGCCCCAGGGCAGGAATTGAAAAAGGGATGTAAAAGGAGGAAGTGGTGGAAGTGCCAAGCACAGCCACAACCTGACCTGCTCCAGTGAATGGAAAATGCTCCCAGCTCCCATAAACCTCCCATTGGTGGTCCCATGTCACAGCAGAGGGGACAATCCCAACTCCCTGAGACTGCAGTGGCACCAGGAATCTGTGGGAATTCTGCCCTGGCCATGGCAGCAGGAGGGTGAAAGCAGCAGCACCAGGTGAAAAGCAACACCAGCACCCTGACACCCCAAAACTCCCCAAAACTCCCCAAAAATCCCATCCTGGCACCGTAGCCCAGCATCCCACGGACAGAGCATCTCTGCAAGGCCACAGGCACTGGGTCTTCACATCCCCATCTCCATCCCCACCCTCCCAGCTCACAAGGTTTCAATCCTCACAGGGATTTTGTTTTTCCTTCCCTTTCAGCCTTGAGTCCAAGGCTGCCTTGCAGGAGTGGCTCAGCCCCCAAAATTCCCGCAGCTGCAGCCCCACTCCTGTCGTACCCCACTCCCACATTTAAAACCTGACAGGCTCATTTAAGCTCTTCCCCTCTGCCAAGAGGAAACTGCAAATATCCACAGCACAGAGCAGAAGCTCAAGCACGAGGACAACCCTCCCCTTCCTTCATTTCCGCTTCCTCTGGCTGCAGATTCCGCAAAGACACCGAGTTTCCTCACCAAGCTGGGAACAGGAACCCACACAGATGCTACAAATTAAAGGACACCTTTTAACATCACAGCACTGCCACAAGCACCCACAGCACTGAGGGGGTGAACTGGAAGCAAAGGGATTGTCCATGGATCCCAAAAACAGAAGGGAGGGGCAGATGTGGAATCCAGGGTGTAAAGGACAGTGATTTATAACAGGTCCCTCCAGGTGAGACACTGATGAACAGCCAGAGCCAGCAAGGCATGGACAGAGCTCCAAACACATGGACAGAGCTCCAAACACATGGACAGAGCTCCAAACACATGGACAGAGCTCCACACACATGGACAGAGCTCCACACACACATGGACAGAGCTCCACACACATGGACAGAGCTCCACACACATGGACAGAGCTCCACACACACATGGACAGAGCTCCACACACATGGACAGAGCTCCACACACACATGGACAGAGCTCCACACCCATGGACAGAGCTCCAAACACATGGACAGAGCTCCACACACATGGACAGAGCTCCACACACATGGACAGAGCTCCAAACACACATGGACAGAGCTCCACACACATGGACAGAGCTCCACAACACATGGACAGAGCTCCACACGCACATGGACAGAGCTCCACACACCTGGACAGAGCTCCAAACACATGGACAGAGCTCCACACACATGGACAGGGCTCCAAACACATGGACAGAGCTCCACACACATGGACAGGGCTCCACACACATGGACAGAGCCCAAACTCCTTTGAAGGTCTCAGCCACCAGGGAAGCTGCTTGGGGCCCCACAAACCCTTCTGCACCTCCCTGCACCCTGGAGGGGTCTCTGGGACACACATCCTGTGAGCTCTGAGCTCACCTGGAGCTGCAGTGACCCTGGAGGGCTCAGAGGTTCCCTCTCAGCACCCAGGCTGAGCTGAGACGTTGGGGGGAGACAGAAAACTTCCCCTCCCCAGACATTTGTCCCTTCCTGGAATCACAGAATAGCAGAATGGTTTGGGTTGGGAGGGAGTTTTAAGATCAACTCATCTCACCCCCTGCCATGGCAGGGACACCTTCCACCATCCCAGGCTGCTCCAAGCCCCGTCCAGCCTGGCCTGGGACACTGCCAGGGATCCAGGGGCAGCCCCAGCTGCTCTGGGCACCTTGTGCCACCCTCACAGGGAGCAATTCCTTCCCAGCATCCCATCTAACCCATCTCTCTTTCCTGCCTCTGGTGTTTGATTTTCTCACTTAACCACAGGCTTGAGCCCCAGTTAGAGCCGTGAAGTCGCAGCCAGAACCCACAGCTGCTGCCGGGTGGGAAACTGAGGCAGCGTGAGCAGCCCTGCCCCAGCACCGCAGTGGCACAGGAGGAGGTTCAGGAACCAGGAGGGCTCCAAAGAGCTGCCAGCTCTGACATTGCTTCACTGCCAGCTCTGCCACAGGGAGTGGGGTGCGTGTGTGTGTCCTGCAGAGGGGACAGCCCGGGGGACCAGGGGCTCGCCTCCCCTCCCTCGCTTTCATTTTGGAAGTGAAAACAAACCTTTAGTGAAGCAAGTTCCAGTAATGATGACAGAGCGAGGCCGACGTTTCCTGTTTCCGTGCGCTCCACCCTCGGCTCCCACAACCATTTTGCGCCAGTGTAACCCCCCCTCAGCCTGACACATCATCTACAGCTGCTTCCCATCCTTCCCGCACGGAAACCTCGGGCTAGAAACCAGCCCCAGGCCAGAGACGAGCAGCCGAGCCGCGATGGCAGGCGCTGGGGCTGCTGCCCGCTCTGCCTCCATCACCTAATTGCACGTTAGGTACCAAAAATGGAGTGGAAAATCGCTGTCAGCATCTCCCGCTCCGCTCGTGCTGAGGCTGCCTTGGCCCTGGCGCTGCCGCTGCCATCCAGCGCTCGTTTCAAGGGATATGGAAAGTGTGTGACAGCCAGCGTGACCCCAGAGCCCGGGGCAAAATCGTGTGTCACCCGCCGGGTGGAGGAGGAGCCGGCATCTCCCAGCGCCGCACAGCTCAACCCGGCTGCATCCCAGAGCGTCCTGAAGCTGGAAGGGATCCGCAAGGATCATCGAGTCCAGCCCTGCACAGGACACCCCAGCAGCCCCAGCTGTGCCTGGGAGCGGTGTCCAAGCGCTCCTGGAGCTCGGGAAGGGCGGGATGGGCGCCCAGCACAAAGCGCCATGTGTCCGTGCCGAAGGGCTCTGCCAGCAGGGATGGGTGGCTGGGGGTCAGGGCTGTGCAGCACCGAGGGTCAGGCGGGGAAATCACAAAGGAGCTGCAGTTCCCGCTCCTCTCCCGCAGGATCCGCCCCCAAAACTCTCCAGGACAGCGTGCGGCAGCTGCCAGCCCCGCAGCCGGCACTGCAGGGAATCCGAGGCAGAAAACAGCGGGTCTGGGACAAAGTAGGGGTGGAGGGAGCAGGGCGAGGTCGGGAGTGATAAGGGAATAGGCACAATCTCAAAGGGCAGAGCAGGCGTGACTGAGAGCACGTGTCTGTGCTCCCAGCTCCCTTCCTTGCTGGCTCCGTATCCCCCAACAGCTCTAATGTGCCTGGAGATCTGGGGAAGTGCCATGGAAAAAAAAATAAAATTGCTTTCCAGTGGGATAAATTCATGTTTAACTTTGAGATTCGCTGAACCAAGCAGCTGCATCCCAAGTTTCTCCATGACATTTGTCCTTCGTGACTTGTGACAGCACTGAACTCGGCTGCCTCCAGGGATGGGGCTGGGAGAGGGCTGGAATGGGGCTGGGGTGAGGATCAGGGTCTGGATGGTGAAATGCAACACGCTCCCTCTGGCCCTTCATCCCACCCCAGCCAAAAACACTGTGGGTGCTCCTACAAACCCACCCTGGAGCACCAAGCAACACATCAGGCACCTCCAAAGAGCAAAATCCTAAATCCTCAAAGGGAATCACAGAGTAACAAGTTGGGTATCGACTTGTTTATTTCTTTGCACTGCAAAAAAAGCCTCAAGAACCTGCCCAGCACCCTGGGGTGCCTCCCTGCACATCCCTGAGCCATGGGTTCCCGCTGGTGGGTAGGAAATTGTACCTGTTGGGTTTGCTGGGCTGTTCTCCTGTGCTGTTTGGGGTGTGAACAGCCACGGGCAGCATCCACGGAGAAGAAGAACCCCATCAGCATCGAACCACCGGCTCTCCTGCCCTGCACCGACCATCTCTGCATCCCCCACGGGAAATTAGGATCCCTCAAACCTCTTAATCCCACTAAATAACATCATATGCTTTCTGTTAAATAGGCCAGACCGGTCCTCACCGTGGATTCTAGGAATACCAATGAAAGAAGAGCAAATCCTCTGCCCTTCATGAGAATTACAGCCTCATCATGCTCAGCTGGAGACAGATGACTGCCTAGATCATCTTTCCAATTACACATCTCTGCCAAAGCCCCCCCAGCTTGGCCACCCCAGATTGGAAAACCCCATCCAGTGCCTTTTCTTAATTATTAAGGGCCCTCTTTGCCCATCCTCGTGCACCAGCAGCAGGAATTCCCATAGCCCAGGTGAGGGCTGGGATGGGATGGATACCTTTGCTAAGCAACCGTGTTGCTTTGTGCCAGCTCACACTGACACTGAGAGACAGCAACAATGGGAATCTCTCTGCTCTGCCTCCGCACCAGCTTCAACACCTCAGTTACACAAAGCCTTGGCAGGGTTTGATGCCTGGGCCAGCTACAGCACCCCAAACCTGCAGGATGGAGGTCCCAGCCTCCACCACCCACACCTGGGGGGCTCAGCGGGTGCTCTGCACCTCCTGTCCCCCTCCTTGGGGATGTGTCCCCACCAGCCTGCCTGGGTCAGGCCTGGCCTTGCAGCTGGAGACCTGGGGCAGCCCCATTTATGCACCCCCCACCACTGCCCCAGCCCTGCTGACAAAGGGGGTGTCCCTTCCCACCCCTCCCGGACCCTGGGGACCCTGGGGTCCTATGTGCCACATGGGATCCATCCCATCACTGGTGTCCACCTTGGACACCCCCTCCAAACCCACCCTCACCAAGGACAGGTACAGAGCACCCCAAAACATCCCCTAATGCCCTGGAACCCTACACCCCACATCCCCTGTGGCACTGGGGNATGGGGCTGACACAGTATGGGGCTGGCATGGCATGGAGCTGGCATGGCACATCACAGCATGGGGCTGGCATTGCATAAGGCTGGCATGGCACGGCAGGGGGCTGTCACAGCACAGCACCGGGCTGGCACAGCATGGCATGGGACCAAAATGCTAGAACAGCACAGCACAGCATGGGGCTGGCACAGCACAGAACTGACATGGCATGGCATGGGGCTGGCACAACACAGCATGGAGCTGGCATGGCCTGGGGATGGCACAGCCTGGGGATGGCACAGCATGGCATGGGACCCACATGGCCCAGAGCTGGAATGACACAGCACAACATCAGACAGGAAGGCTTGGGGCTGGCATGGCATGGGGCTGGCACAGCAGATGGCACGGGGCTGGCACAGCATGGCAGGGTGTGGGGCTGACAGGGAACGCTACATTCTGGGTTTGGCACAGTCTGCCTGGCTCAGTACAGCCCAGTATGGCACAGTCTGGCATGGCACAGCACAGCACGGGGCCTGCACAGCACAGGACAGCCCAGGCCTGGCACCGTCTTTCTGGCTTGACACAGCCCAACACAACAGCTCTGGCACACACAGGATGGCCTGGGGCTGACACAGTCTGCCTGGCACGGCACAGCCCAGCATGGCATGGCCTGGGGCTGACACAATCTGCCTGGCATGGCACAGCCCAGCATGGCATGGCCTGGGGCTGGCACAGCAGGGTGTGCGGTTGCTTGGGAGCTTGGTGTGACCCAGCCCAGGTCTGTCCTGGAGAGTATGGCCTGGGGCAGCGCTACAGTCCAGCACAGCCAAGCCTGGCACAGCATGGTCCAGCATGGCACAGCTTGGCATGACATAGCACGGCCTGGCCTGGTTCAGCATGGCCCAGCCCAGCCCGGCCCGGCCCAGCCCAGCCCAGCCCGGCC